CCTCCTAGTCCTGGAAATGCTCCTGCAGACACTGCTCCTCGAACTCGTGCAGCCTCTTCAGCTCCTCCTCCCCGAGGAACAGCTCTGCGCCCAGGGACAAGCGCGCGCCCGTCAGATGGCGCCCGCCCGCCCCCCGCCCCCCGCGCTGTCGCCGGCAGACGGTTTCCCGACCCTCCCGGGCGTCGTCACACAAAGAGGGCTGTGACACGCGGCAGAATGGCTCACTTAACACACGAGACAAAATACACAGCCGTTCAGGATGTGGAACCAAATTCTGCTTTTCTGGAAAACTCTTGCACGTATCTTAGGGCTACAGTCCAGTGTCCGGCATCATTTCCCCCGTTATCTCTACATTCAACAAGTTAAGACATCTCGAAAGCGACCCCGAATGACTACAGGAGAGTTGTTTTCGAGAACTCTCTGTTCCTCATCCCTTCCCGAGTGGGCTTTCAGTAATATGAACTGTTAATAAATGAATCAAAGCCGTATCAAAGAGACACACAACGAGACGCCTTCAGCAAACTGGTGAAGAGGGAGGAGGCGCTGCCATCTCCCCAGACCTCCTGAGACTCAGCCCAGGAACGGGGCGGAGGGGCCGGAGGGGCCAGCACGTGCCCCCAGCCCTGGCGGCGACCTCGGCCAAGAGAAACAGATAGTAGCCGGTCTCTCGCACCTGTTACACAGGTACAGAGCCCCCAAGAGTACAGCGCAGTGTGGTGGTGACCTGGTGGCCGCATCCCGAGGCCTGGGTCTAGGAACGGGAGGACCCGGCCGAGGCCTGACTGTGGGGGACGGTTAAACCCCCGTCAGCGGCAAACCGAAAAGCAGACGGTTTGGATGATCAGGAACGCGACCTCATCTCTCCGTGAAGAAATAATTCGCGTATCTTGAAAGCGTAGGAATCGCCGTTAGAACAGCGAAGAAGTCTTTCAAAGTTTCATCGCGAATGTACCTTTAAGGCCAAAACTCGGTGCGGATGCCCCTTGAGTCTGGCCGGCTGGGTGACAAGTCGAGCTGCTTTAAGTAAGTGATGAAGATGCTCAAAAATTACATGACTAGAAAATGTGGGGGCGCAGGCCTATCCCTCCCGTCCGCTCTTTCCCCGTGGCTCTTTGCCACCTGCAGGAGGCGCAGTCCTGTCGCCCTCCCTGTGACCCGCCTTCATTTGCTCATTCACTGATTGACGCCTGCTGCGTTCATTCACCGCACATTTGTCCCTCTGCATGGTGCTGGCTCTGTCCGTACCCAGGATGTCAGAGTGTCTGAAAGACAGACCCAGCCCTGATTTCAAGGCGTCCACCCTGCGGGGGGACAGACGCCTCTGCCTCCGGGGGTTCCTGGTCTCGTGGGAGCACAGAGGAGGGAGCCTCTTCCTCTGGGAGCTGGTGGGGGGCGGCAATGAGACCCAGTGGCAGGGGGAGGGGAGTCCTAGGGGAGACCGGCCTTGGCAGAGGTAACAACGCCCAAGAGCAGGGATGACAGTGGCTGTCCCTCCCTCCCTGCCCGCCCCCATTAGGGCCTTGTGGCAAAAGCCCCCGCTTTGGGGCTGGGAAAACAGGCCTGGCTGTTTGGTTGGCCGTGGTTTGGTCTCAGCCTGGACCATTTGCGATAAATGTCGCCCCCTTTCACTCACAATATTACAGCCGTTACCTTGACACCGTCTGGGGAGGGGTGGGGGGTGGGAACACGCGACACCCCAACGTCTGAGCAAACGAGAACG